TATAAGTTTGAATGAAAAATTGATTAAGAAATTGATCAAGTAATTTATTGGCTATAGCCGGCTACTAGTCGATAGTTGATAATAGCTGACCGATAGCTGACCTAGCTGACCGAACCTATCCCTAATAAAGGTACATCTTATGTTTCAGATTTAGGATTATCTAAAAAAGAAGATGAAAATAGCGCAAAAGGTGCTATCTTTGGAGTCATGCCTTATGTAGCTCCAGAAGTTTTATCAGAAAGCAACAGTTTACTAAAGAAGCAGATATCTATAGCTTTGGTGTTATTATGGCTGAAATAACAACTGGTCAAAGACCTTTTGATAGTTATAAATTTGGCACGAATCTTGCAGTTAAAATTTGCAATGGATTGCGACCAAAGTTTGCTCATGGAACTCCTGATTATTATATTGAATTGGCAAATAAGTGCATGAATTCCAATCCACAAAATTGGCCTACTGCAAGGAATATTTGCCTTAAAATTGGATATTGGCTTGAAGAGTTAGCTTTAGATGATGAAAATGAAATAAAAAACAGTTTTTAAATGCTAATGAAATTATTAAAGCATTACAAATAATTCCTCAAAATCATCCAGATCATATGTACACAAGTAAAACTATTAATACCCAAAAAAATATCAAGTGCAATTAAAGGTATTGTAAATTAAAAATTTGTCTAAAATGTTTTTAGTTTTAAATTCAATATTAAATAACATTATTTGTTAGATTCTTCTTTAATAAACCTTCATATTTCTGACAATATTGGAAACTCTGGTATGTATATAAATAATAATTAATAAATGATTTATAAAAATAATTGCAATTTATAATAATAACTTAATTATTTGAACTGGACTAGATGGTGCCACATGCACTTTGTGCCTCTTACTATAAAAATTGCCAATATCTCAAATTTTACTAGAGTAACCCTGTTGTATAACTAAGAAAAATGATCCTTACCTGAAAAAACACCAACACCAACCCTAACCCTAATATTAATCTTTGTATTTTTTTCAATTATTTTTATATATTTATAGATAATAAAATAGAATAAAATTTTTATTTTTTTTTATATAAACTAGTTTATTAAAGCTCTTTTTTATAAATTATAACGTATATAAATATAAAATTATAAATAAAATATTATTAAAATTTTTATATATTTATTATAATTTTTCTAATTTGAATTTAAACAAGTTAAATATTTAATAACATTCTAAACTATACGTATCAATCATTTTGTAGTAATAAGAATGTGTTTTGCAATCATCTATTTATTATAAGCACCTAAAAAAAGAAACAGCTGACAGACTTTTATATATTTTTTTATTTTTTTATTTTTTTTTGGTATTAAGGTGAAGCCTTGCTCATATCTTTATTGATTAATTTATATAAGTAATTACATATCAACTATATAAAAACTTTAATTTGTATAATAACAAATAAATATAAATTATAGACAAGAATAAAAGCTCAGACTAAAAATTTAAACTAAAAGCTCAAACTAATTATCTGTGATCTAAACCTACTAGAGTAGTCAAGACTCACCTAGGTTTGAGGGTTTAGTAGTTCTCAAGTAATTGCTTGTATATAATAGTTAATTTTTTTAAAAAAATTGACTATCATATATGCAAACAATTACTCAAAAACTAACAGACCAAATAGACTAAAATTTTTATATATAATAGATAAATATCAATATTATTTATAATAAAAAGTTGAGCCAATTTAGATCACTAGTTATCGAGACATATATTGTCAAAGTTTGAGTAAAAATACCAAATTTTTTTTACTGTAGTATACATAAAATTATTTGCACATTTTAGTGATTCTGATTGGTTAATGCTATACTGCGCCCCAAATTTTAAATTTTTCTATTCAGACTTTATGATCCGGCCAGGTTATGAGAAACAAAAAATTGCCTAATAACATTATATATATTATATATATAAAAAAAAAAAAAAATCTCTAAAATTGTACTCTAACCCAAAAATATATTAACACCAACAACATCATAGATGCACAATATAATATCTGCAAAAATTTTATTCGGGTCCTGGTATAATACTATTAAATCAAAAAAAGATAATCACCAGCTCGGAAAACAAGAATCTGGTGTTAAAATTAGGGTTTTAGCATAATGTTGGCCAGAATTACAAAACTCTTATCTGAGACTGAATCGGAACAATTCCATATATTTTTGCATAATTCTGGTGAAAATTTTAGCATAACCCAATTTTAGAATTAGCCGTAACAAATATTAATTATCGTTATATTAAACCAGCCACTAAACTAAGTAATGCATGGTAGATTGGCAAATTATGATTCGCTTTTTGAGGGATAGTATCACCTGCCATTATATTTTTTCAAAAACTAGTTTACGGGAGTACTAATAGACTTTCCGACTAGTTACGCTTTAGCCTTAATACGAAATATCTCGACGATTTCAACGAAGTTTTCTAGTACTTAGTTGTTTAAAATAGGTGTTGTTGATTTCTTGTGAGCATAATGTCTGCTGCCTCAAACGATAACTCACACCAAAAGGCGAAAGAAATTGGCTGGGCTTTCGTGCAGGAATATTACAAATATTTCAATGAAAAACCAGAGGAATTACATCTTTTTTATAAAAAAAATTCCAGACTTATCCGTGGCTTGGAGGGTGAGGAAGTTAAGGTTTGCAAAGGAATTCAGGTATTGAGGCAAGGCTTTCATTTTTGTTACAATTGCTAACTTGAAGATGGCTGTAGTCTTGTATTAGATGAATTTTTTAATATTTCATGTTCAAAATATGTTATGATATTCGTTGATTAGTTGTAAAACTTCGTGTTATGGATATAAGAGGACCAATGACAGTTTATGATGAATTCAGCGAACTATTTAGTGCAGGCAATTTTACGAATTCTTTAGAGATCATCTTACCAATGCTCACATAAATCTTTGATTACACTTTAGGAGATCAAAAAAAACATATCTGATATGCAGCTGAAAGATGCACATGTAAATATTACCAATGTCGATAGTTTAGATTTATTGGATGCCAAAGTGCTTGTCCAAGTCACTGGTCGATTTTCCAACAAAGATGAAGCATATCGTAAATTTGTTCAAACCATTGTCCTTGACACGCAACCTGGAGGCTATTATGTGTTGGAACATATATTTCGTAATTTTAAGGAAGAAGCTGATGAAGTCGTTAAGCAACAACAGACAGATCAAGGATCAACATATATTGATGATGGTGTATCTTCGATAATCGAAGAAAAGCTTAATGGTGAAGATTCAGTTTCTACTTTATCAACAGGAACCCTCGCAGAAGAATCAACTCAAGAGATAAGTCGAGATTCAAAAGTAGTTGAAGAAGCTGATTCTAGCATCCCAGCGAAAGTGGGTGTGCCAGAAGTTCCAGCATTGCCGAAATCTGAAACAGAAGATATACCTAGTTCTGTTACTGAAGAACCTGCGGATAACGAATCGAAATCAATAGAATCTGGTCCGAGTGAGAAGGCTACACAAGTCACCGTGCAAACAAAGATATCTACTACCGCTGCACAGCTAACGTCACCGACACAATCGCCATCAAAAACCCAAACATCTTCATGGGCATCTTTAGCTGCCAGTGGTAGTAGCAAATGGGATACTTCACAGCTCGCCGAACCTAGTAAGGGTCGGGTTATCCCTGCATCTCAATTAACACGAACACAATCTCAAACATCAAATACTCGAGAGGCTCCAAGAGATCGGAATTCTAATCGAGGTATTTGTGTGAATATTAAACAACATCAGGGAGCAGTCCAAATTTTCTGGATCTATTTATCTAATTAGCATTAGAATTAGAGTGCGATATGAGTTGACTAAATTAGTTGACCCAAATCAAAATATTCGACTAAATTTTATTAGTTGACTAAAATCAACAATTTGAAATCGATAAGTTGGTAAGTAGTAAGGCAGCAAGTACCATGATCTGAGAGATTACAAATGTTCGAACCTAAATTACGAACGTGGTTAAGCAAATTTTTGAAATATCTGAAATGAGTACTCTTGAGCACTTATTTCATAGACTATTTGTTCCAGAAAATTTGAACTGCACCTGATGATGTTTGAATATTGAGATTTGTGATATTATGATTAACGGGGTATATTTGACGAAAAACTGTTTTTTAGAGTTTTCTCTTTATGTTAAAGTTGGTAATGAGCGAATGAATTATGAAGCACTAATGAGCGCATTTAGTAACTTTGGACCTGTAAAAAATCTTGATGTTGTGCCCGCTAAAGTACGTATCTTTTACGAAACTCATTAATTTCTTTGAATTATTAATTCAAATTAATCATTCTTATTGTTTGATAAAGTCGTGTGCTTTTGTGGAATTCCAAACTCAAGATGCTTACCAGCGAGCACTCCAGCAAAGACAGATTCCTGTTCCCGGTTTTGGAAACGAAACTGTTATAGTTGAAGAACGACAAGAACGACGCAAGGACGATAATAGCCGATATCGCGGTCGACAGAGCTATGACAACTATCAACGCAATTATGGTCAAGCACCACACAATGCACACAACGGAATGAATTCACAACGTGGAGGTAGAGGTGGTGATAGGCGTAATGTGCCTCGCCTTCCTGCTAAATCACCTTCTTAATAAGAATGGTATGTTTACCATGAAATACACTTTGAATTTGTGCTGTATGATGATTTTAAGGTCTCCCTCTTCTGAATTCAATACTTAATGGTGAAATTGACCTATCCGGAATCATGTATTGTCTGAAAGTGATGCGTCTTTATTTTAAAGGTATTTGGGACAAAATGAAATTTAATGCTTTATGCATTTCTCTCTTGATGTTATAGGTTCCAACAAATAAAGAAAAACTCCGGTAGCGCTTAGCACAGGACTTTTTGCCATTTGCAGTGCAATATTTTGTATAATATATATATATATTATATATAATAATCTTTAATTTCACAAGTGACAAAATTTCACTACAAGTAATACTTATATTTGTAATACAAAGTAAATAAAGAATGTGTCTATCAGCGAATCTTTGCAACAGCCATGCTTTATTATTTAGTTAAATTGAAATAGAAAATGTTTCAGTGTAGAGTTTTTAAGATTGTTTTAATTGGCTAATTAATAAGAATCTGATTTATCCAAAATAAAGATTAATTTATTTTTAATATTTATATTATTTGTTTTAGTTTTTTTATTAAAGTTTAATATATTTATATTAATTATTATATATATTTGTCTAATTTGGTATTGTTAGTTTGACTTGTTGTTAAGTTGTTATATATATTGTCGCAGCTGATGCTGAAAAGGGCTGATGCTGAAATTTGGGGTCTCTATTTAAATCTATAATACCTACTAAAATCCACATATACTTTTTTATTAATAA